GTGTCTGTAACCCGAAGTATGACTGTATGAACTTCTTTCGATTTTGCAATACAGTTCTCCAACCAAGTAATGCATACAATAATGTATGCATTTACATATATTAGTGAAAATAACATACAGAAATGGACTGTATTAGGGAAAATTGCTTTGCAAAAATATGTGTATTGGGCAAAGTAGAATAAACCATTTTACATGACTACGTATAAATGAGTGGTCATTCATTGTAGCAGTCCATTATTGGCAAGAAATAATTAATGGCTAAATTAGAAGTGCTACCTGCATTAAATAGCACACTGATTCCAGAAGCTTAATTAGGCAAGCTAGATGTTGAGATCCATGCCAACATCCATTTCCAGGTCACTGCAGGGAAATGCCCTTGTACAGCACCCACATGGTAACGCAATGGGCTAAGGGATATTTGGTGAGAATTTCTGAGGCATTCCCCAATAAAATAACACATGATTGAAGCTTATATTTGTCACAGACAGTCAGATATAAATTGCATGGAGTATGACACATGATTTCATGACTTCTCCCTGTTTTAGGATATCTAAACATGAAGAGGTCAACACAACCAATTAGACTCTATTTGAGCACTATCCTGGCCTGGTGTTCAATAGCAATACACTTCCCGGGCAGGGGCCTAGTCCTCTGTGGCTATTGCAAGGCCAACAAGGCCACAACAGCATCAGGAAGGCTGAGGCGAGGACTTGTTGCATCACTCTTCCTCACTCTTCCACCAAGAGTTCTGATGGTGCCATCTGCTGACTTAAGGAAGAGTGCAGAAGGAACTGTAGGAGTCACATGCTTTAACCGCTGCCCTAATTTACTGTGCAAACTCTGTTGAGAAACTTTGGTAAAGACTCTCTCTCTCTCTCTCTCTCTCTCTCTCTCTCTCTCTCTCAAAACTATTGAGAAAATAAATGAACCAGGCCCTACTCAATCCACTTTAGTTGTTCTGACATTTGGGGGGCAAAGTGAGGACGAGTTATGTAGTGAATTTTGGCAGCCATTAAAGAGTGAGAGAGCCATTAAAGGGAATTATGGTAGGAATGAGATTATCACTGTAGTAGTAGTAGTAGTAGTAGTAGCAGTAGTAAAACATACTACCCTCCTTCACCGGGAGGTCCCTGGGTGAGTTACAACAATTTAAAATTAAGAATTCAAAATAGTTAAGACAGATTTAGGGTTGGCCTTAAAAACACACATCTCAGGTGTCAGAGTTAAAGAGGTGTGTTGTTTAGCTGAAGGCCCCCTCATTTGAATACCACAGGTTCCTGGGGACTGGAGATCCTGATGAGTGGCTTCTATTTACTCCCACACCTGACATCCAATCTCCTCACTGCCTGCCCTTTAACCCCTTGCTACTGGTAAGCCTGTCCCATGGACCTATATAGCTTTAGGTCAGCCATATCCAACATGGTGCCTTCCAGATGCTGTTGGTGTCCAACTCGCATTGGTCCCATCCAACATGGCTGATGATCAGGGATGACTGGAGGTGGTGTGCAACAACATCTGAAGCAGGCCAGTCTGAGGAAGACGGCTTTCAGCCTGTAGCTTTCCTTTCACCTCTCCACTTACTTATGCCAAGACAACTCTGGAAACGGAAAGTCCTCTCTGTTCTCAGTCCTGCTTCTGACATCTCAGGAAGTAGCATGCAACTTTCAAAAGCTTATGCTGTATTAAAACTAGCTATGTGATATATCTGTGTGTGTTGTGCATCACATTGAGGCCTAGGTTAACATGAGGCCAATAAAATAATTGATACGATTTTGCAGCATTCCATAGGGATAAGAGGAAGCTGTGCTGAACTGCACCTTCCTAGCTTGGTTCCCTGCTCGCATGAAAGGAGGAGCAAACCCACAACAGCAGGAGACTCATTCCTATCTTGGTTTATTAAGCTGAGATTTGATCGGCCAAATCCAGGCATTCATCCACTGCTGAAAATAATGAATGCAGAAAACGTCTAATTGCTAGTAACCGGCATATGCTAATCTGGACATTTTTTTAGTTAAATGCAAGTTCTAAATTTCTCGAAATCACGTTTAACGTTGGGTTAGATTGATTGTAGAGCTGCTTTATGCTGCCATCTCTGTATCTGTTTTATCCACTCTTGAAAAAGAAATACCCTGCTCAGTTGTGTGTACATCCATGAAGAATAAGGCTAGGTTAGAACCTTCCTGCATTTCCATCTGTATTTATTACTTACTATCCACCCTATATCTATGTGTGGCCAGCTATCCTAGTGAAATAGAACAAGACAAACAGAAAGGCTAGCGAGGAGGGTGGATTTACTATGATTATCTCTATATTAAAAGACTACTTTACATTGCATGAAGGATCAAATGATACATATGGAGTGATCTGTTCTTCACTGCCCACTCCTGTTGCCATGGTTTTATACCACCTGTCTCCTCTTAGATTAACATTCTCAATACAGGATTGTATTATTTTAGAGGAATATGTCAGCAATGACTTACTTTACATTGCCTGTCTAGAGATATGTCATAAGAATCAGCAAATCATGTTCTCGTGTATCAGCTTCTTTCGCCAATGCTTATTATTTGAAAGACATGATCAGGCTTTTGAGTTCACTCAAAATAATTGAGTTGATGTTTATAAAGAACACCTGCCATTAAACACACACAGAGAGATAACGTGAGCAATATTTTGCTTACAAACTCCATACAGGCATAAGGGTTCAGAGGAGAAATTATTAGTTGTCCATATTTCCACATCGTTTTGAAAAGTGGTTTTTTTTTAAAGTTCTCATGAAAATTAATCTGTCACTAATATTTCAGATATCTGATTTTTAAAAAATATATATATTCAGATGTTCTGCATCATGATGATTTTTCTACGTGTGATAGCCATTTTGTCAGGTGTCATGTTCAGCACAATGTACAAAAATATGATGCCCCACATTTATAGCACTGATAGAACAGGTGTATCTAAAAGCACACAGGGATAGTAGTATATAAAAGAGAAGGTGAAGGAGATCTGGACCTAGTTGCAGAAAATGTTTGATTCTGATTCTGGGGTCCCTTTTTTCCATAGCAGCTGAGTTGTGAAAGTGGGGCCATGGCAGGACCGGCCCTATCATTAAACAGAGTGAGACAGCCACTTCAAGGCAGCTGATTTTGGGTGCCATGAAAGGGAGGTACATGGATAGTTTTTGATTTGTTTTGCCAGGGACCGGAGTGAGAGAGGCACCTATTGCATTTTCTGCCTCATGTGCCAAAATAACCAAGTCAGCCTTGTAAACCTTAACAGGGTAAGAGTGCATGTGGAGACCCTGTTTTCTGCTTTGACTCAGATGGCAAAATGACTTGCTCCAGCCCTTGTGCCATTTCACACCGAAGGTCCTGCATTCAATGGTAGGGCTTTGCTTGCTCTAACAGGCAGCGGCTCAGTAAGGAAGTGTCATGCAGAGGTCTTTCTTAGACTTACTAGAAAACAAGAAGAGCCCTGCTTGACCAGGCCAAAGGTCCATTTGGTCCAGCATCCTTTTCTCATGGCAGCCAATCAGACCAGCTTGGAAAATATTTGGTAAAGGGGATGCGTTTCTGAGCTATGCCCATCTCCTCTCTGTGCAGTTCATTTTAAAACCGGGATCTTTGACCCTTCATGCAGAACTATATGAATTTAAATAGCTTGCAAGATTTAAACATTGCATCGGTAATTGTGCACTTATGATAATGGGTGTGTATTTTCATTTCTAGCGGGGTGGAGAATTTGTCGCGCATCACTTGTTGGAATCAGCCTCAGCCAATGTGGCCCAAAATCAAGGGATGATGGGACTTTGAGTTCAGCAACATCTGGAAGGCCACAGTTTCCCCAACCCAGAGCTATAGATGCCAGTTCATTGATAATCATTGATAAGGGCAACACTGCAGTGCCTTGCTTTTAGCAGCCTTCGACAACCTGTGCCCTCCAGATAGTTTGGGCTGCAGCTCCCCTGTCCAACAACTTCTGGTTTTACTGTACTGTGCAACAGACTCTATTAACAGCAGAAAGAGTTCCTTCACAAATTAATCTATGCATTTGAAAATATTTGTTTTAGATTTCAGTGCATATACTGATGGATACCATAGGTTGGGTTCTGAGGCAGTGAATGTAGCATGAATAGTTCAGTTGAGGCCACATTATCAATTTAGATCAGTCAAAGATCGGGCGTAGAATTATGCATTTTTTATAAAAAAAAATACTGATTGGTTGGAAAGAAGGACAAGGATGCAATTCTTTTATTGCTGAAACAATCAGATCACCCACCACAAATTAGGTGAATACAGTGATTCCCTACACTGTGCATCCCTGTTGACTTTTAGAACATGAATAACTGAAAATAACCATATTCCATTAGTTAAATGGAAAGTGTTTACTGATTGTGTTTTCCACAGCACTAATACATATGGTTCACAACAATTAACTTAACCTAATCCCCTGCCTTTAATAACTTACCATCAGTAAATTGTCTTTCCATCACAGCCCAGTATTTTAATGGTCTGTCTCAGATTACTTCACAAAAGGTGATTTCATTTTCAACTATTAATGTCAACGAATCTCTCCCATTTAATTAATACAAAAACTCTGTTGACACCAAACTCTTTGACCTTTCCTGTGACTCATCTATACTCACACAATGAAACGTTCCTGTTCATCTGGGGAATCCTCTGATGAGGCCCCAATTGAAGGGGTTTCCTCAGTTAAAATTAATTTAGAAATTCAAATTTTATTCAAAACAATGCAAATATCTCTCAGTTTTGATGAGAATCCAATAGCCGCATCAAAACTGCTTTGTTATGTGAAACTAGGCTGATCTTGAAAGAATCAGCAACAGGGGCCTTTAATTGGCAAAAGGAAAAGCTCCTGAACTGATCTGAAGGTGAAATGCTGCTGAAATTGCCTGGATTCGTATGTTTCTCTTGGGTGCAAAAATACGGATCCTTCTTCCATATTTCAGATGTGCTATAGCTTGTCATACTAAATTAATTTTTTTCTCACAACCATGTAGTTTTGCTAGCAGCGTGAATAGCACATTTGCAAGCTTTTCTGAAGACCCCCGTGTTATTTTGTAGAAGGGAGTGGGTATCTTGCAGTAGGGAAGCTGGAGGGAGTGGAACTTGTCTCGACTTCAGGCCTCCAATTTTTCTGCCTTTCTTCTTAGTCTCCATTCTGTCTTGATCTGCGAAAATAAGTTATGAAAATTGGATTGCATTTTCCAGGGGCAGTACCAACCCCCCCCTTTTTACTTCTCCCCATAGCAATAATATCATCGGCAGAGCCGAGCCTGTAATCTCATCTATTATAACATCTATATAAAAACACCATTTGTCTGAGAAGGAGGGCGCCCCCCACCCTTCCTATTTCTCTGTCTTTTCTTTGCTACCACTCGTAGTTTATGTTCTGTATTGTTTACACAACAAAGAACCGTTACCAAAAGGAGGAACAAAAAAGCAAATTGTTGCAAAGATCCAAACTGCCAGAATTAGACCGTCACGTTGCAAAGTGGTAATTCTCTTTGACAGCCTCAGCTGTACCAATCATGACATTCAGCAAATTAGCCCGGCCAAGAGCAAACAGAAAGAAGAAACAGGTGTGAAACCAACTTCCTGCCTTCCAGGATAAATACATTGTACACTGAAGGGCAACGCACCTGCACTATTGTTACCAAGAGTGGGGTCCAGGGTGGGGTGGGGGGGAGAAGCTTTTAAAGTGCAAATACACTCAAATCTCAATAAAGACAAGCGAGTTCTCTATAATTTGAAAGAAAGTGGCCATTTCCCCCTCTGGCTTTATTAAAAAAAAAATACAATTTACAACATATTAACTCTTTAAGGAAAGATTTGGTACACTGTTTAAACATTCAAAGGCTTGAATAGGAAGATGCCAGAAGCATTGCCTGGATTCTAATAATTTATAGGAAACTTCCTTACTGCCCTCACTACGAGAAGTGAGGTTACAGGGAAACAGAGAGGGGGCCTTCTCAGCAGTGGCACCTACCCTGTGGAACGCCCTCCCATGTGATGTCAAGGAGATGAGTAACTATACAACTTTTAGAAGACACCTGAATGCAGCCCTGTATAGGGAAGCTTTTAAAGTTAGGCTTTTTAATTTGTTGGAAGCCACTCAAAGTGGCTGGGCCAACCCAGCCAGGTGGACGGGGTACAAATAATAAAATTATTATTACGCCAAATTAGATCATTGGCCCATCTAGCTCAGGACTGTCTATGCTAAGCGACAGCTGCTCTCTGGGGTTTTGGACAGGGAATATTCCCAGGCCTAGCTCGAGGTCCCAGGGATTGTATCTGAGATCAGTTGAATGCAAAGGAGATGCTCTGCTGCTAAGCCACAGCCCTTCCCCATACACTTAGCCTTTATCAGGCAAGCGTCACAATGATAACACACAACGGCACTAAAAATACCTGGTCCCAAGACAGAAGGATTCTGGACTTCGGTGCTAGCAACTCAGTTAGAGTAATAATAATAATAATAATAAATTTTATTTATACCCCGCCGTCCCCAGCCAAGACCGGGCTCAGGGCGGCTAACAACCAATAACAACAAGTTGATTGAAATACAACTTAAAAAACAAGATTAAAATACAACATTAAAAAATTAAAATGCAGCCTCATCACAGGAGGAGAAAGGGGAAAAAGAAAGAAAGAGGGGGAGGGCGTCAAATTGATTCTAAGCCAAAGGCCAGGCGGAACAACTCTGTCTTACAGGCCTTGCGGAAAGAAATCAGATCCCGCAGGGCCCTGGTCTCATGAGACAAAGCGTTCCACCAGGCCGGAGCCAGTGTTGAAAAGGCCCTGGCTCTGGTTGAGGCTAATCTAACTTCCTTAGGGCCTGGGACCTCTAGGGTGTTGCTATTTATGGACCTGAAGGTCTTCCGTGGGGCATACCGGGAGAGGCGGTCTCGTAGGTACGAGGGTCCTAGGCTGTGAAGGGCTTTAAAGGGCACCTTAAATCTGACCCTGTACTCCACCAGGAGCCAATGCAGCTGGAAAAACTATAAGAATCACAGAATTATAGAGTTGAGATTCCCATCTACTCCAACCCCCTGCAATGCAGGAATCTCAGCTAAAGCATCTGTGACAGACGGCCCTCCAACCTCTGCTTAAAAACTTCCAAGGAAGGAGAGTCCACCACCTCTCGTGGGAGTCTGTTCCACTGCAAAACAACTCTTACTGTCAGAAAGTTATTCTTGGTGTTTAGTTGGAATCTCCTTTCTTGTAACTTGAATCCGTTGGTATAGGTCATACCCTCCGCAGGAGAAAATGAGCTTGCTCCATGCTCCCATTTTGTTCCTTTAACCAGCAAGGCTGGTGTATCAGGAAGTAGGGATTAGGACAGGGGTCAGCAAGGTTTACCTCGCCTCGGCTGGTTCCCTCCCATGGAGATCGCTCTGTGGGCTGGATCGCATCTGCGCAGATGCAATTTTCTGCGTCTGCGCAGATGTGATTTCTGGCGCTGCAAAAGCGAGTCCCCGCTCTGTGTGGCACCAGTTTAGTTTGGTTTGGGAGGCGGCTCATGGGCTGTTTAAACGACCCCCATGGGCGGCTTGTGGCCCATGGACCGCAGGTTGCTGACCCCTGGATTAGTAGATACATCTATCAGATTGGCTGTTGAGGCTGCTTGGAGCACAGTAAGACCGGCTCCAGCAGTGGGAATTTTATTTTTTATTCCCTTTATTGGACTTAGGAATTTAAATCTAGAATACAGTGGTACCTTGGGTTAAGTACTTAATTCGTTCCGGAGGTCTGTTCTTAACCTGAAACTCTTCTTAACCTGAGGTACCACTTTAGCTAATGGGGCCTCCTGCTGCCGCCACACAATTTCTGTTCTCATCCTGAAGCAAAGTTCTTAACCCGAGGTACTATTTCTGGGTTAGCAGAGTCTGTAACCTGAAGCGTATGTAACCTGAAGCATATGTAACCCGAGGTACCACTGTATAGTGTTTTGGGTAACATTAAATTTATTTATTTGCCAGTTGTTGATTTTTGACTGACTGGAATGCATTTATAGGTTTTGTAAGCTGGCTTCGCTCTCCCCACCCCAATGTATTTGATGTGAATGTTTGCTGTTAGCTGCTTTTGGCACAGGTCACTGTGAAATATAAATAAACCCAATCAGCTAATCAATCCATTAAATTTTTTGGTGAACATCAGCTAGAACAGAATAGCAGAGAGGATTGTGAATAGATAAGATGGTATCTTCTTTGGCTTTTTTTCTATAGCAAATGGATGAATTCGAAACAGCAGCCTAGTTTGAGCGATGCTGTCCCTTAGCTTATCCATACATGTAGTGGGGGAGCAATATCACACCTTCCTGCCCCTGCAGTGCTCACCAGGCATATTTCATAAAATTGTGAAGTCGAAAGGGACCACAAGGGTCATCTAGTCAAACCCCCTGCAATGCAGGTATCTTTTACCCAATGTGGGGCTCGAACCCACAACCCTGAGATTAAGAGTCCCATGCTGCAAACAACCAGCACCATCAATGTGGTGCTTCCAGGACAGAATGCCCCCCCCCAAAAAAACACAGCAGGGCCATCTCACCACATTTTGAAATAAGTGATATAATACACATTGCCTGATGTCTTTGTGCATGGGGTTTTCTTGGCAGGGATACTGGAGTGGCTTGCCAGTTCCTGCTCCAGGTGGATCACGTTTGCTCAAAACTCTCCACTATGACCTGTCCATCTTGGGTGGCCCTGCACGGCATGGCTCATAGCTTCTCTGAGTTATTCAAGCCCCTTCGCCACGGCAAGGAAGACAGGAGTGCCTGGCATGCTCTGGTCCATGGGGTCACAAAGAGTCGGACACGACTAAACGACTAAACAACAACAAAAATACACATTGCCAATTAAAGACCGGTGTGTTTAGGTGTTAATCCAATAAGTATAGCCTAAAATTACCTAGCTGCACCACTGTGTAGGCTGCAGTGTTTGAACAGGGTGCACATATGCAAAACTTAATTGAGGTCAATCTCGCCCTCCATTTGCAGAAGTGGGTTGCATGACTTTGATTTTCGCAGACTAGAGATTTTCAGCAGGACACACTCTGCTAAAAAAACCCAACTTTCGGGGAGTCCCTGGTTTTTACTTTTTGAAATATGGCAACCCTAAATGAGGGTGACACCATCATACGCAGGGAAAAGGTAATCTGAACTGGGTCACCGTAGCTCTTATTGACCTTATCTGAACATTAGTCCAAGGTACATATTATGTAACCCAAATTAATCTTTCCCACCATCTGTCGATGTGATGTGTTTTTCTCTCATATGGAAGAAGGCTAAAGATTCTCTAAAGTTCTGTGTTGAACAACACCCACACTTTCATAATGTTTCACATCTTGTAGAGTACTGAATGGATGCTCATAGTGACTGTTATTATAGCATCCACTTAACTATCCTAGCCATCTGGGGTTTGTGATGCACACAGAGGATTATCAAATTTTCTAGAGCACTGCTCCCTCACCAGAAGTATTTCTCAGAAACGGTTTTTTATTCACCGTTGTAATAATTGGGTTGATTCTGAAGCCTCTTTCCCCCCCCCCCCAAAAATAAATAAATAAAAACACAACAATACAGGGAAAAAATTCCCTGCTGCTCTTAAGTTGAACACCTGGCCCTTTTGAATCTGATTGAGATGCATTTGACAAAGTATTATTTCCTCCCCCCCCCCCCAGGCTGTATGGTAGTTGCACAAATGGTAGGTTAGCGTTCTTGGAGGCAAGGATGGATCTCGCATAAATGCTCACAAATGGCTTTTAATTTCGGTAAGGAAACAATAGGGTCCTGTTCACACACACACACACACACACTGCTGCCCTCATCCCTCGCAGTGCATTATTGCTGTTTGCAGAGGTAAATGTCGCTACTGAAAAGCCCGGTGAGACATTTTCAAAAGCAACAAGGTACATCCACTGTGTAGCTAGAAAGGAGGGGGATTTTTTTAAAGGATATGCCTTGAAGGATGACTATCTATTTGTCTTGATGCCAGCTCCCAAAATGCTTTCAACAGGGAGAGTGAATAGGCTGAGTGCTTTGCAGAATCACATCCTGGTCCTATGGAAGTGACAGAGAAGAGACCACTTCTCTGTGTTAGGTCCAACCAATGGATTCAATTTACAAGAAAGGAAATAATAATAATAATAATAATAATAATAATAATAATAATAATAATTTATTTGTACCCCACCCATCTGGCTGGGTTTCCCCAGCCACGCTGGGCGGCTTCCAACAAAGATTAAAAATACATCCATTAAAAAGCCTGCAAATTCTTGCATAAGAAAGTCAGTCAGATTGTCTTTTTCAAGTTCAGGTACGGTCCTGATCCTCAAATTCGTTTGTTTCTCCTTCAATTCAATCATAGACAATATCGACCTGTGGTCTTCAAGTTGCCTGTGTATCGGTGGTATCTTCTCTTCTACAGAAACTGCTATTTCCTTTGCTTCTTCAGCTGTCTTTCGGGTCAAAGTAGATTCCTGTAGCAGCTTCTCAATAGTTTCTGTATTAGTATTTACCTTCTGTCCCAAATTGTTGATACTTGTAGTATTTTGATCAATTTTAATTGATGCTTCAGCTACTTGTTTACTTAGTTTTTCCAAAGATTCATTAATTTTGCCTAATGCCTGAGCTAAAACATCTTCGGATGCCATTCCTTTAGGTTTAGGTTGTGCAAATGCAGCTCCTGATAATGGGACAGAGGGGCCAGATGTTGATGCTCTTCGCTGCAGCCCAGCGTCTGGGCGAAATGATCTACCAGACCTCGTTGTTTTTTCCTGAGGCAAATCTATCTTCTCCTTTCCATCTGCCATAACACTCTAGTTAAAGCCCAAGGTCAGTCCCACGGCCAGAATTTGTTTTGAAGTGGAAAATTCCCCTGGCCCAGTTGTTGTTGTAACAATTTAAATTTCCTCTAGGGGGACACAGTAGCAGTCAGAAGTTGTTGCCTTAAAATAAATAACCTTTTTTTTTATCCCCCAATTCACAAAATAGACGACAGTTTCAATTTCAGTTATTTTCCAGTTTCTTTAAAACCAGGAGAAACCAGCCAGAAACATTGTATATCACTTGCAGAGTTAGCTGTCAAAAAGTACTCTATTCAGCAACAGCGCATTTCACAGTACAGCATTCTTATTGTCCATTGGCAGCCCGTTCCCAGGTTTTAAGCGGTGGATTTTAGCTTCCTTTTCTCTCTTTTTGCAGGGAAATACAGTTCACACCTTTCCCCCCTCCTCTCCTGCAGCCAAGGGGGGAAATCGCTTGTTTTGATGTTAGAATTATAGTCCTTTTCAAGTGTCTTACAAGGTTTTAGCTTACAAGTTCATTGCTTTGCTCTATTTACAAAGAATGGAAGGCAGACTTCCTGTTTATGCCTCCCCGCTTCGGTATCAAATTACGTCTTTGTTCTCCTTTATTTCCCAAATTAACCTACTCACGGGTAGTTGTTTTGTAGCCAAATTGTCACAGGAAAAAGGTAGCGCTCTCCGGCAACGGCTGTGCGGCTTTGCTCCACGGAAGAAGCAGTTGACTCTCAGCACCGCGCCGCTTCCCCGCTTCACTCCGGAGCCCGTAATCGGGCTCCTTTGCAGATTGGGGGGCGCAAAAGGTGCCCGCCGAGTCCCACGGTCACAGGCTTCACCCGCCTGTGATTTTTTCAAGGGTCCCCGCTTCGCCGTAGCGGAACAGACCTGATTCCCGTAGAGCTAGTCCCTCCGGATCAGAGGGAGTCCGCCATTACCGATGGCGCCACCCCGGAAATCAGCTAAAATGTCACACATTAAATACTTCCCTGAACAGGGCTGCCTTCAGACATCTTCTAAAACTCTGGTAGTTTTTGTTCTCTTTGACATCTGGTGGGAGGGTGTTCCACAGGGCGGGTGCCACTACCAAGAAGGCCCTCTGCCTGGTTCCCTGTAACTTTGCTTATCACAGTGAGGGAACTGCCAGAAGGTCCTCGGCGCTGGACCTCAGTGGGGGTGGAGACGCTCCTTCAGGTATATTGAGCCGAGGCCGTTTAGGGCTTTAAAGGTCAAAACCAACACTTTGAATTGTGCTCGGAAACGTACTGGGAGCCAATGTTGGAAAGGAGATCCCAACTCCACAATTCTAGGTACATTATCATGTACATTAGGAAGTACTTTCTGATGGTAAGAGCTGTCCAGCAGTGGAATGGACTACCTTGGAAGATGATGGACTCCCCTTCATTGGAAGATTTTAAACAGAGGTTGGATGGCCATCTGTTAGGGATTCTTTAGCTATGATTCCTGCATTGCATGTGATTGGATTAGAAGATGACCCTTGCAACTACTTGTTGAATTTTGTACATTTTTTTTACTAATATGCACATATCTGTACACACTGTCCCCTAATATCAGCATTTTTCTTTACATAATTTCAAGTTGGAGGAACGCACTGTAAAATTTGGAAAGGTGCAAATTTTGAAGAGCGGCTGCATTTGAGTTAGCATATTGATTCTATAACCAGACATTAAGGAGACTTGCAAACTGAACTAATTTCCACCCCATCCCTTTAAGTGTTTCCCAATATTGTTGGAGGCAGGAGCACAAATTATTGCATAGCTGTAATGTATCCAGCCAACTCTACATGGTTTGTGCTTTTTGTATCCAGAGTGGGCATGTGAAACCTGTGGCCCTCCAAATTTTATTGGACCAACTCCATTGCATGAGCAATGATTGGGGATGATGGGAATTGTAGTCCAGCAACATTGGAAGATCTACAAGCTCCCATGTTCTGATCTAGAGAGTCCAGGTTGCATAAACCTGCCATACCTGGTTCCCTGTTACGGTTGGCGAAGAACTTTTTCAAATTTGAGTTCTGGCAAAATGGAACAGACCAGATCTCTGAAACGAGGGAGTCACAGGAGATGATTAGAGTTCATCCTTGTTTGAAGGCAAAATGAAAAGTATATCAAAGGAATAATAGAGCTATCGGCATTTTTAAAGTGCTTGTCTATGGGCCTTCCTTCTCAGGTAACATGATAATTGTCTTGTCTGCAGAAGTTCTGCACAAGGATTTCTGCTTGTGCAATGGGTCTTGTTTTGTCTGGCAAGGCCAAATGCTTGCATTGATGATGGAGTGATAGCCTTATCACACTGTTGACTTCCTCCTGTGATTATTTCAGTTTCTTGGAACAACAAAGCAGAAAAAAAAATTATGTGGCCAGTGGAGTTTTTTAAGCTCTATTTTTGTCTATCATCCAAAATCTCCACCCAGATCTTAAGCATCCACTTTTTGACAGCTAATGGTGTGTGTTCAGTCCCATATCACACAAATAATCAGGTATGTGTCCTGTGCCGTGTAAGCAGGATGAAATCATCCATATTTGTGTGAGAACATCTATTTAACCTAGTCTTCGGTGACTGGCTAGCTTTCCAAATCCTTTGCCATATTGGCTGAACAACCCTTTCTGCACAACCTGATTGGATAAACTTCCAGTTCAGTGGAAGATATAAATAAGTGTCTCTTAGTAGATGTGAGGAGAAAGCTTTCTCTCTCACTTGGATGTGTTCAGCTGAAGAGTAGTTCTAATATTCCATGCCCCAAACAAAGGAGAAGCAAATAGACAGCCAGTGCAATGCCTTGAACTGGATGTAAGCATCAAGGCAGGCCAGTTGAGGCAGACTAAGGCTGGTAGATTGGTGCTCAGTAACCCTAATGGACCAGCCTCCAATGAGCTTTCATAAAGGAGCTCCCAGGTTCAGTTCCTGACAACACTGGAAAAATATTCTAGCCTGGTATAAGGCAATTTCCTGTGATCCTATAGCTCAGCTTCCAAGAGTCTGCAATCTACTCACAGTATTAAAAAACTGGCAGTGATCTACCCATTGTAGATGGGTAGTTGCTGAGCTTTTTTTTAGGAAGCTTTTGGGGGGACATTTTGATGGGGGTTCAAAGATCGACAAGGATCGACCAGGGACAACCCACAATCAACCAGTATATTGCAATCGACCTGTTGGACAGCCCTGCTATAGCCTACCCAAATTATTTTTTACACCTCTCTTTTCTGTCTTAAGTCTGTGGAACGGTATGACTATCAGCCACTGGTCTCGATTGCTTTATGAGTGGATTTAGTATCTTGGCTATATAAATGGATGTGTGAGGTACTCTCTGAAGCATGTTTAAGCAAGCTATGGACTGAATAAGAAAGTCTGCATTATTATTATTATTAAAAATTTGTTGTGGTCATCTTCTCTTGGGCAAGTTGCAAGCATGCAACCTGACAAGTTAAACAGTAAAATAAAGGATTGGGTGGGAGGGAGGGAGATGTGCTCCTTCTCTTTCCACACAATTATCATTTTCAAGTAGGGCCGAGTTAGTCGGAGCAGATGGTTTATCTTTCCTGGTAGTTCCTCTAGTTAGACAAATGAGACTCATATCATTTCGGCATCCTTACTCTGTCTTGCAGTACCAATGGAGCCATTCCAAATCTGACGCGCTGTGTTTTGACTTATTTAATGCCGCTGTACTTTTCCCGCAGTAAACATGATTATCCAAATACTTTAACTTGAGAGCTTCTGCTTTCCTCTGTGGTGTAATTAGTCACACTGCACTCGCACTGCATTTAGGAATAAACACACAATTGGAGCATCTTCCAAATGTGCCTATATTCCCATACAGCTGCTTACTTCACTTTATTCTTCTTTGATTGCTTCAAATACACAGCGCTACAGCTGGGCAGCAAATGAGGAAATCTGCAAAGACATTCCCTTTCCCTTTTTCATTTTGCGAGAGCCCACCTCTTCAGGTATGTAGGCGTCGCCCCATGCGAAGCGAGAGCTGAGCACAAGCTAAGTTTTCTTGGATTCTATTATTGAAGAACTTGGCAGGATATCTATTAGGCTTAGATTTCAAAGCCAAAAGAGTGATCTGAGATCACACACTGGCAGTTCTACAGTGGTAATTTCCATGTTTAAAGAATACTTATCACCAGCACTGCAGCGAAAGAGGCAACGTTTCACAGAAAGAGCCTCTCGTGAAATTAATTTTGTGTTTATTTTATTAAGCAGCAGTTTCCAAATGACTTTTTCTCCCAACAACATGAAGCCTTTTTCCTGATTTTCCTTAATGTCGTGCATTTTAATGGTTTTTTTAGGAGGAAACAAATATATACGCCGAGTTTGTACAGAAATCTGGAGAGCTCTTACCCAGACACCTTTCCCTGAAATTCTTTAGTCGTCTTCCTAGAAATAAAAGAACAATTGGGAAAAGCAAGAAAGGAATTGGAAACAAAAGATTGAATCATTTGTAGGTAACCTAGAGCGTGGCTCATGGGAATGTGCCTCCCCGCCCTGGCTTCTACCTCTTCCAAAACACATCTGGAATCATATCACACTGATCCCGCTGTACAAAACTCAGGGTATGGTCTGGAGGTATACATGAGGACAGCACCTTGCTGAAGCTAAGCAGGTCTGGTTCTAGTCAGTGCCTGGATGGGAGACGGCATGGGAACCATGTGCATGCCAGCTCCCTGGAGTTAGAAATGTGAGCAGATTATTCAATAAATAAAAATAAGCAATTCTGGAGATTTGACTACCCTCTTTTCTGTGGCCTTTGCTGATCTCAGTCTATATTAGGAATTGGAGAGAATTCCAATTAGCTATGGGGCTATGTTCAAGGTGCTGGTTGTGATGTAGAAAGCCCCATACAGCTTGGAACCAGGATACCTGAAATATTGTTTCACCCCTTTTATACCTAGTTGATCAGTACACTCTGCAGGTGAGGGCCTCCTGAAGATACTATCTTCTCAGGAGGTCTGTTCTGTACGGTGTAGGAATTGGGTCTCTAGTGTTGTGGCCCCAACCTTTTGGAATTCCCTTCCCTTGAATATTAGACAGGCGCATCTCTGTTGCCTTTCTAGTGTCTACAGAAGACCTTCCTTTTCCAACAAGTCTTTCAGGTAGAGATCTTCCCCAGTCTCCATCGGTATGGAAATTGTTTTTGAGATGTTTAAACATGCACTTTAAGAGGTGCAGCTTAAACTATATAATCGATATCCTCAACTAGTTCATCTCCCCTCAGTCTTTCTCCTAGCACATTCATTATGCTTAATTTTTTCATAGTGATTTTCAAAAGGTGCTCTTTCAATGAAAAAGAAAAGCTCAAATATTCCAAATAGTGTGGTTTTAAAAAGAGGAGATGTGCCTTAGGCCAGGCTTCCTCAAACTCGGCCCTCCAGTTGTTTTGAGACTACAATTCCCATCATTCCTTACCATTGGTCCTGCTAGCTAGGGATCATGGGAGTTGTAGGCCAAAAACATCTGGAGGGCCGAGTTTGAGGAAGCCTGCCTTAGGCCATGATGGTGCCTGATACAAATCTGAATATTTGTGTGTGACAGAAGTCAAAGATCTCTCTCTCTCTAACTAAAAAAATGCAGATATAATTTTACTAAGTTTGTGACTTTTGCAATATTGTTCTTGTTCTCTATTTTTTAAAAAAAACCTTAACATTTAAAATAAATCTCTTGGCTAATCCTTATATTAACTATGTTTGTTCTTGAAAATTAAAATTAGATTTGACAATCTTTCCCATTTTTTAAAAAAAGTAATACACTTTCTTCTGTGGGGGAAAGCAACAAATTCAGTGGCATCAGTGGTGAAGTATTGAATCTGCAGCCTAAGAAATTAGGTGAAATGCTTTTGCGGGCACCTTCTGCTTCTGCTTCTGCTGCCCAATGGACAATGCTGTGGCCTATCACCCAGATCTTCATGGTGGGCAAACCTGTAAGACAATTAAATTGCAAGTGATAAGGAGGAGGAGCCGGGATGAATTTAACTTTTGTAGGCTGTCGAGCACCAGCGGCCCAGTGTCTTGATGTGTGCGGGGTCCCAACCCTGTATCGCTGCTGAAGTAGCAGCCCCGATACGAAACGAGTGCCCGGAATATTCCTGGGGACTAACACCGCAAGCAGATAAGGCTTTGCTTAAAACCGCTGTGAATTGTGATCGCGTCAATGGGCGTGTGTTTGAGTGAATGAAGAAAGGGCCCTTGCACTGGGGCCGGACCCTGAAGAAGCAGCGTGTGTCGCGATATGGGCAGGGGCCCGCCTGTTCCGTTGGGGACAGCGCGAGCGTGACCCCTTTCCGCAACTGGTCAGTTTTTGAGGACCGAATCTTAACATTCAACGTATGCCCAGAGAACTTGATGTCGTTGTCTGCCAACCCTGATTGCAGGGGCCCAGCCAAACACTCCCCAATGCGCATGGCACCAAAAAAGGCTAGGGAAAATGCTGCCCGAAAGAGACGCGTTTCGAAATTTGACCAGCAGATCTCTGGTAGTTTTTTCCAAATTAGATAAAGTATGTCTATGGTGATAGGCTTCCTGCCATCCTGACGAGGGGGAATGACACGCTGCCACCCAGCCAGTAACTTCTTGACATGGAAGCTGTCACTGGGATCTGGCCAGTGACGGAATTTACAAAAGAAAGAAATAGCTGCCCTGTAAAGCATTAAAGTTTTTATGGCAAGGCCCTTGCGCTTTAGGAGCACCAAGAACTGAAGCACCTCCTCCTCAGATGCGCGCCGTGTTACAGAGCCACGAAAGCGCCCAAAGGCATCCCAGGCCCTGGAATAAGAACGTCTAGTGGAGGGTGCTATTGCTGCCAATACTCTCTGGTTTACTTCTCACTTCCAATCTCCCACAGATCGTCTGGGAAGGCGTCTGGGGACTGGGCTGCTCCTGGGGCCAGTTCGCGAAAATGCTCCATCTGGAAACGAGACAGGGCATCAGCAATGTTATTGTTAAGGCCAGGTATGAAGCGGGCAGTGAAAGAAATATTGTGCCGCAGGCACTCCAGCACAAACAGGCGCAGGACCCTTATGACCCTCTGGGACTTTGCTGACTGCCTAGATATTCTTACCACTGCTTGATTGTCAGACCAGAAACAGACCCTGGAATTCAAAAAGAGGGTTCCCCAGATGCGAATGGCGACTAGAATAGGAAAGAACTCCAGAAAGGTTAAATCCCAAGTAATGCCTGCTGCGTGCCAAGAAGATGGCCACGGCTGGGCACACCAATGTCCCCTGAAGAACACGCCAAAGCGGCCAGAAGCATCAGAATGAACCTGGAACTCCGCCCCAGGGTTAAGGCACTTCTGCCAAAAAGAAACCCCATTATAGTCCTGCAGGAATGCAAGCCAAACCCTCAGATCATCCTTTATCTGCTTTGTCACCCTGATGTGATGGTGGGGGACTACCCCCCTGGCCGTGAGCCGTGCCAGACGGGCACAAAAGGCACGGCCTGGCGCCACTACTCTACACACAAAATTAAGATGACCCAACAGGGATTGCACCTGGCGAAGGGTGGTCTTCTTAACCCCAAGCATTGCCTCCAGCAAAACTTTCAAGGATTCCAACTTGGTTTGCGGTAGGCGCGACGACTGCCGAATTGTGTCCAATTCAATACCCAAGTAGGAAAGGAGAGTCGAAGGGCCCTCGGTCTTTTCAGCAGCCAGAGGTATGCCAAAGTCAGCTGCAAGGCACATGAATGTAGCTAGGGACAGGGCACAGTTGGGGGAGTCTGGGGCCCCAATGATAAGAAAGTCATCTAAGTAATGGGTCACAAAAGGGGAACCAGATGTGGTTTTGAAGGCCCATTCAATGAATGTGCTGAAGGTTTCAAAGGCTGCGCAGGCCGCAGAGCAGCCCATGGGCATAGCCTTGTCAAAGTACCAGCTATCCCTGAATTTGAATCCAAGCAGCCAAAAATCTTCAGGATGAACTGGGAGCAGCCGAAAGGCTGACTCGATGTCACATTTTGCCAATAAGGCCCCAGTGCCCAATTCCCTAATCATTTTAATGGCCACATCCAAGGATGCATATTTAACTGAACAAAGCTCCCGTGGTATGGCGTCGTTTACAGACCCACCCCTAGGATAAGAAAGGTTGTGTATCATGCGGAACTCACCAGGAAGTTTTTGGAGCACTATGCCAAGAGGGGAAACTATAAACTTTTTGAAAGGGGGAGCCGGGAAAGGGACGGCCACCCTGCCTAAACGCCGCTCTTTTTCAATTTTGTTAAAAGCAACAAGGGGCATTTCCATTACCGACTTTTGATTAGGAGTGGTTCTGGATACCGGTGTATTGGAGACAGGGATGCGGAAGCCAAAATGAAACCCTGCTTCCAAGTAGTTGGCTGCAGTCCTGTTGGGATAGGCCTGTAATAAAGGTAACATCGCGGAGAGGCGGACAGGGGTTGGGGCTAGGGTGGAAAAAACCTCATTTCCGGGAGGCAGCCTGGCTTGCTGGGCTCCAGAGGTAGAGGCTCCTGAGTCTCCCTTGGCGTCCTTGGCTCCACTCCCTGATCCTGTTTTTCGAAAACTGCGAAAAGGGGGCTTAGCCCGAAAACACTTAGTCCGTGAGTGAGGACCACCACAACGCTCACAAGCATGGTCAAAGCGGCATCGGTCCCTGCTGCACAACCCATTATTAAACTCCCAACATGTTGATATAGCCACCCTTTGCACTTTGGAGGGGGGTTTACCTGACTTCTCCCTCAAACCCCTTTTTTGGAAGTTTGGGGCCACTACTTCGGACCAAAGATCATTATCCTTGATGTCCCAACGGGCCATGGGTTCTTCAGCAGCCCTCACACGGAACAGCTCATCGTAAGCCAAAGCCGCTGAGTCCCCTGCCATTTTTTTGGCTTTTAAGATAATGCCCAGATAGTTAGCCAGGTGCCAAGCCCTATCTGGGTAAGCAGCGGCCACCAAACCCATGTAAGAGGCGAAAGCAGCTAGCCAATTGTCAAAAGTTCTATCAATATCCACTGCCTTCTCCTTCTTGTGATGCAATTCGGCTTAAACTTGGAACTACAAGAATAAGCTGGGGAGATCAGGGCAAACAAGTCCACAAATTCCCCATTTAGAATGCGGTTGTGTATATTCTTTTTAAGCCGGATGCCAGGAGGCTGATCCGTGGTCTTGAAGTTAGATGCCCGCACCTTCCCTTTCGCATCAAGCCCATCCTCCCCAAATGGTTCCTTGGCCCCAAAGGCACGGCGATGGCGCCGGGTGTGACGTTCCCATATCCAACTAGGCAGGCTAGGGGCCTTGTGGGTAGTAACGCAGTACCCTTTGCACCGTTCTTCCAACTCGCCACAGGAGGAATCACATGTACCTGAAAGATCTGAAGAATCTGAAGAGTCCCTCCTACACTTACGCCCATGCTTCCTCGATCTGCAAGACCTCTTCTTCCTGCAACGTGTTCTGCGCGAATCAGGGCTGGAGGAGCTGTCTGATGAACTTGAAACCGGTGACCTATGCTTATGCCTACCCTCGCGGGAGCGTCGACAAGGGGACTTAGACTTATCTAAGCGCTCCTTAGCCCTAGCCAGGCGACGCTGCAGGATGCGGTTCTGACGCAGCAATTCCTGCACATCGTCGTCACTGGACTGGGAAGAATCGCTCTCAGCAATGAGCTCCTCTGTGTATGCCCGCTTTTTCTTCTTAGGAAGGGCCCTGTAGGGCCTGGCATCAGAGGTGGAGGGGCCATCATCCCTCACTTTTTTCTTAGAGATAATTAACTTCATAGGTGGGACCTTCCGGCTGGAAGACAAAGCCCTTTTTTAAATCCTGTTGGCTGCCTTTACTGCACTGCTAGGGGTACCCCTCGATGCAGCTCTTGGGGTGCCCACCCCTACGGCACCAAGAGAGTGTGAGGGGGAGCCTTCTCTTTGATCAGCAGCCACGGCTAGAGACATAATGCACCTTGAAGCAAGTCAACCACTACTAAGACCTACAAATACCTAAGTATGATGGCAGTTTGTTGTATTTGTTTCTGTTTGTTTGTTTTTGTTTGTTTGTTTGTTATATTAATTACAATTATTAGATTTATTTATATTTGCAATCGGAATGTTTTGGTGAAAGACAGAACCAGCCAACCTAACTTTGCACAAACGCTAAGACTGCAAAAATTAGAGACAGTTAGCACGCATCCTGAAGACCAACTTGGGGGAACGGGGGCGGGGCGGGTGGAAGCATGACCACCATGCGGCCTGACTTAGTTCCCCCCCATAAGGAAAAACTGAAGTGGGTTGCCCTGCAGCCCGGCGAGGCACCCCCTCCCCAGCGTGATTCAGCTCAAAAAGGTCACCTTATGGCCCTCTTCTGCGGGTGGCAAAACAGCAGGCCAGCCTAGCAGCCCAGCTGAGGCCCGCGCCACATTTTGGCCAGCAACACCAGTGGCTGGCAGCAATGCCACCCCCCAGCTGCAAAAACAAGCAGGCAGTGGCTGCTGCCTAGCTGGGGCCTGTGCATCCCGCTCGGGTCGGCAGCAGCAGCTTCAACAAACCACAACAATAAGCCTCAACAGACAAATTAAATCATAAATCTCAACAGAGCCTCCTGGGGCAGCAGGGCCTCCTGCGGGGGCAATGCCGGCCCCCCCGCAGCCACTGAGAAAGGGACTAGGCCGCGTTTTGAGGCCTAGGCAGGCCTGTGCCGCCCTCCTGTGAACCCGCTGGGAAAAGGGGACTAGGCCGCGTTTGTGGCCTAGTCAGGCCCGCACCGCCCTCCCGGTGCCCCCCCCGCCGAAAAAAGCAAGCAGACCCAGCCGCGGCCTTGCTGGAGCCCCGCGCTGCCCGCCTGGGTAGGAAGGCGCACCGGGCAGGCGGCGGTGGGGAGCGATGCCCCCCGCCGCCCAAATGCAAGCAAAATAAAAAATGCCAGTTACTTACCTCAGTCCGGCCACCTGGATACACTCCTGATCCTGATCTTGATCCCAGAAGGAAGAACAGCAAAAGAGGCTTGAGCTCAGGGGTCAGCCTCTTTTCTTTTGGCCTTAGGCCCACCCCGGCCGGCCATCCATTGTCCTCCCTGGCCGAAGGCGGGTCAAAGGCCAGCTCAAGCAGGTGGGTGGCACCCGCCCAGATGAGCCTCGCTTGGTGCCGCAAACCCCGCCCACCTGTGGGGAAGGGAGGATGGATATTGTCTATCGCCGCATGTAAACAAATTGAATGACTTCCTTATTTGGGGCTTTGTTCCTTCAGCAGAATAATTTGCACTACTTGAGGGAAGCAACAGCTGCTAATTAACAGCAAAGAAGAAGTACTTTATCAGTAGCAGAGAGTCATTTTTCTCTCCCAATTTTCAATACAACCTTTTTTCCCCCCTCCCCCTCCCCTGCCAAGATGTTTTCATGAATCATTGTTGAAAGAAAACCTTGTCATTAACAATGGGGTTTCAGTGAGACTAGCTGTGCGCTCCTGCCAGGGGTCAGCCAGGGAAGGCTGACAATGCATCTGAAAGTGCCATTTCCCCAGGCTTAAAACGCAGAGCAGAGCTGACAATTAAGCAAGCATAAACCAGGTCAAGAAACGATGACTTTCTTCATCTTAAACACACAGGGAGACATAGACATTCAAGTCTACACGGCCAATTTCCTACAGGACAATCACTGCCATGTAGGAAGTAGTTTATTTACAATTTGTACACATATCGTGTGGTGCCTGAGGAAATGTGAAGTGGCTTGCAGGCTGGGGGAGAAGTCGCTGCAATAGCATCCCAGCAGGTGAATCACTGCTGCTTCCTGGAAGGCAGGAACCATGACAACTTGCTTTCGAACCATGACAACTTGCATGCCACCTCACCAACCAATGGCGTAGCTTGGGTGGGGTCACAAGGGGCAGTTGCCCTGGGCTCAAAATTCTTAGGGGCCCAAAATTTCAAATGGAAAAGAAAGTAATAATAAAAAAATAGTGCGCCCTCCCCCTCACACAGATAATCGTCCAATGTGTTACATGGGTGGATTTGGGCAACGGTCGGTTGCAAGGGTGCCCTCTGCAGAGATTTAGAAAGATACCCACTCCCAGTCACTCCCCTGCCCCGCTCTCTGCCATGCTTGATGCTCACAGGCACCACAGCTGCCACTTGAGTAGGCCGCCAAGCTACTGCCCCTTTATTGTTGTCTTGCCCCGGGCACTGGCAGCCCATGCTACACCACTGCCTAACCCTGCCCATTCTCCCTCTTGATAACCCAGAGTGACATGTCTGCCGGGAAGCTGGCATAGCGATCCCACCTCACTCTGCAGAACACTTCTGAAGAAAATGAGCATGGATTTTTCTGGGCAAGACCAAAGGTCTCTCTAGTGCAGCCCTGGATTCCCAACATGGCCAGTCAGAACCCTTTTGAGGATAAGGCAAAGGTGGCTAATCAAAGGGCCATATCTACCATTCAAATATTTTTGTAGCCACCCAAAACATTAAAAAAGTTTTTTTGGGGGGGGGGCAGGAATGACAAATGGGAGAAAGGTGGCTACATCGCTAAGAAGCCCCAACATCATAACCTTTATACAGAGCTATAGAGCTACCAGCCACGTTAGACAAATCAGATATTCTTATTTTCTTTTAAATGTGAAGTATTAATTTTAAAATATACATTCTTAAGTATAATAATAGTGGACACTTCTATTCGAACGGCTAGATTTTAAGGCTGCAATCTGAACAGGGTTATTTTTGGACTTAGAGAACAACTTTGTATTTGATGTCTGTCACCAGGCACTTTGAGAAGGCTGATCGTAAGGTTTTCACTGCCACCTACCCATGTCTAGCACAGTTTATTTTTGTCAGTTTCTGTTTAGGCATTCTTCTTTCCTTCCTCCACAGTGCTACTGTTTTATTTTTCAAGAACAAATGGAGCATAAGAAGAAACCCAGTTCCATTACTCTTTGGGATATGCCCAGAAAAGGCAAAAGGCAGCAAAAGCAAGCACACGGACGTCCTATGAATTTCAAGGGGGTGGGGTGGGGTGGTAAAGCATGTATTTCAATGATACTGAAACCAGTGAGAGTTACTGAGGGGTTGCATATGCCCTACAAAAGTCATCACCCCTTTTCAAATAGACTTGTGTTGGAGTTAAAGAGTAGGACAACATACATCTGCTAAAGAATTAAGATGTGTGATTTTTTTGTTTTTAAGTTTATACAATGATACAGATGGGTGGAAACAAAATTGTGCTACTCAGAAATGAAGGCTGCAGTGCTATAACCAGTGCCGGATTTATGTATAAGCTGAACAAACTATATCTTAGGGCCTCACTCTCTTGGGGGCCCCAAAAAAATTTAAAGGAAAAAAACTGGATGTACATTTCCAAAATATAAGATAAAAAGCAAATAAAATAAAACCTACATACAGCAACAGTGTTTTGTGTTGTGTAGGCTCCTATTAGGTACATATTTTGTTATGTGCAAATGGCTTTAGGTACCTTTTAGGTCCATAAATGACCATATAGCATATATTCAACACAAAAAACAGCGACAATTTGTTGTTGACAAAGGACAGCGGGACAGCTACCTTCAGTAGCTTAGGGCCTCATCAAACCTAAATCCGGCCCTGGGAAATTGGTCCCAATGAACTCAACTCAATCTGATATGACACATAAAGGATTGCGCTGAAAATCATCGCAAACCTGAGGTGTGTGGAGCCAGCACCACTCCCACTCTTCCTCCCTTTCTTCCTCACCTCCTTTTCTTCCTCAGCTCCTCCAATCTCCCTTCTAGGACTGCCTTCTTTATTTCTGTTTTGGTACTGCTGCAGCAGAGAGCTCTACTCCTCCCTGCCATACTTTGGGAAAAGGACCTGGGTGGACCTCCCTCAGAAGGATCCACACTAAGGACCACCTGTGATACTGCTTTGCTGCGTCACCTTGTCATCTTTGATGACACGTAGGTAAAACTTTTAAGAATCTTTAATGCAACATTCAAGTCTAATATTAAGCTAAACTTCTAGCCACTGCAGCAAAGTGTTGCTGCTGCTGCTGCAGGTTTTCTTCCTCCAACCTTGCCCAGAATGCCTCACTCTCATTGTTGTTTAGTCGTTTAGTCGTGTCCGACTCTTTGTGACCCCATGGACCAGAGCACGCCAGGCACTCCTGTCTTCCACTGCCTCCCACAGTTTGGTCAGACTCATGTTTGTAGCTTCGAGAACAATGTCCAACCATCTCATCCTCTGTCGTCCCCTTCTCCTTGTGCCCTCCATCTTTCCCAAAATCAGTGTCTTTACAACGGAGTCTTCTCTTCTCATGAGGTGGCCAAAGTATTGGAGCCTCAGCTTCACGATCTGTCCTTCCAGTGAGCACTCAGGGCTGATTTCCTTAAGAATGGATACATTTGATCTTCTTGCAGTCCATGGGACTCTCAAGAGTCTCCTCCAGCACCATAATTCAAAAGCATCAATTCTTTGGCGATCAGCCTTCTTTATGGTCCAGCTCTCACTTCCATACATCTCACTCTCATACGCTCCAACAATTCTCCAATGAAAATAGGGACGTCCCATTCCATAATGTTAATTTCCCTATTTATACCCCACACATCTTACTGGGTTGCCTGAGCCAGCTTCCAATATATATATATATATATATATATATATATATATATATATATATTATACACATAATAAAACATTGAACATTCTGAAACTTCCCTATACAGGGCTGCCTTCAGATGTCTTCTGAAGGTTATATAGTTACCGTACATCTCCTTGGCTCATAACTCCATACCTTCCAACATTTCTCTGTTGAAATAGGAACATCCTG